GCTCGCAGGGACACTGCCGGCACCCCCGAACCACCGGCAAAACGCGTCGCCTGCCTGGGGGGCAGCAGGAGAGGCAGGAGGGGGTCTCTCCCAGTCAGCGGTGTGATGCTAATGGGTTTGTGGGCTCTTCATAAAGAGGGAAGCAGGACCCCTGCGACAGGGAGGATCCCTGCAGTGGGATCTGCCTCCCCACAGCCAGGCAGGGCAGCCTTCTGCCAGCCGCGATGAGGCTGACCCTGCTGGGTGTCACTGTGCTGTGCGTGAGACCTGGGCTGCGGCACAGACCCTGAGCCACGGGTGCAGCTCATGGCAGAGGGCAAGGGGCACGGGGATGCCTGAGCTCCCTCTTGGGCTGTCAAAAATTGGAGGAGAACTTAAAACACAGACAGTCCCAAGGATGTGTCTTTGGGCTGGCAAAATCCTGGTGCACCGAACTGGGAGTGGAAAACAGGACAAGTCTGCCCCATCCTTCCCCTTTAGCAGCTGGGGAGCCCACGTGCTTCCCCATCTTCAAATTTCCAGCTCAAATGGAAATGGCTGAGAAAAGCACTTGTGTCACGGCGCTGGGCAGGGACCAAGAAATCGATGCAAGGTGTGACCAAAGAGATGGGGAGCGAAGCAGCAGAGCCCGAGACCCCGCAGCTGCAGGGGGACGGAGCAGGGCAGGCGCAGGGATGGTGCTGACCTGGTCTCCCCGATCCTCCGCAGCGTCTCATACACCTGCAGGAAAAACTGCCGAGGGATCCCCTGCAGCCCCAGGATGTTCTGTGCAGGAAGACAAAACCTGGTGAAAGCCTGGCACAACCTAAGTTGCCGGGTGCCGTGGAGGGACGGCCAGGAGCACCGGGGCTCAGCCCTGCCTGAGGCCCTGGCACACGCGCGGTGCCGGCACTGCTGGTGGCAGAGCTCCTCCGCCACCGCCCAGGCACTCCGGGATGGCCCCTTCCCTGCACAGCTCCCTACGGGCAGGGCTCAGAGATGCTCTGAGGTGCCTCCACCCCGTGCTGCACACACGACTGTGCGGCTCCCAGGAAGGGGCTCAGTTCGGGGCCCCAGCCCAGCCTGCGCTGCCACCCCCCTGCACCGCGCCGGCAGCAGCAAGGGCAGCAGCCCCGGCTGCGACCGCAGCCATTAGCCAACAGCAGCCTGCCGGTTCCTCGCTCAGCCTGACACCATCTCCCCCAGTCTCTGATTTTGGTTAACCACAAAGGAAGCACTGCAGCCCCAGGAGGGGCTCAGGCTGCTGAGAGGCCAGCGAGGGACCAGCGGAGCCGCAAAACCTCCGTGCTGAGAATCACCCAGCACCTCCCACAAGTGACCAAAACAAATGTCCTGGGTTTCCTGGTGTCCTGAATGCCACCAGCTGGTCACAGGCAGAGGGTGCGTTCAGCTTGGTCTGCTCAGAACAGAGCACTCGGAGACCCACCAGAACCGCTGGCGGGGGGGACCTGTGCCCCCTTGGCAGCTCCTTCCTCGCACACCGAGCGCATCGCCCAGCCCGGTACTAAATATCCCAGCATGGCCGGCTCCGGGAGAGCGCAGGCAAGGCGTGCAGAGCAGACCAGCGGGCCTTACCTTGATCTGGTTGAAGCTAATGGTGACGGAAGCAGCTGATGTAAACCCTTTAATGACCGGGCAGGAAATGAAATCCAGGAGGAAACCTGCACGGGACGGGTGGCAGTAAGCACGCTGCTGGCCCCGACGGGGAGCACAGGGTGTTTGCGTGCGCGCAGAGCTGTCACAAGCGTTATCAGGACAACCCCAGCGTCTTGGAGAGCACAGAGCAGGGGGGGGGACACAGCTACAGGCTGTACAGTGACACCCTAAAAATACAACCATGCACGGCAGGAGCATCTCACCGAGGTGCAGCAGCCCCATGGCCAGCTGGATGCAGCCGGAGAGGAAGGCGAGCAGGACAGCGTAGACAGGCTCGTGGAACGCGTAAGAAGAGACAAGCAGCGACATGATGGCTGTGGGGCCCAGCGTCACGTCCTTGGCAGTGCCCAGGAAGCAGTAGACGAAGCAGCCCATGAAGGAAGAATAGAGGCCGTACTGCACGGGGACAAAAGGAGCACTGGCGCGACGCTGGGAGCTGGGGAATGCCGGACACCTCCAGGACAGGAGCTGCTGCCCTCGGGCCCCTCCAGCACCCGCAGCCCAGCCC